TTTCTTTGAGCAGTGTTTTGTAGTTTTCATTGTAAAGGTCTTTCACGTTTCTGGTTAGGAAGGTGACGAGGTATTTCATTTTTTTGTGGCTATTGTGAATGGAATTGCGCTTTTTATTTGAGTTTCTGTTTGTTGATTATTGGTGTAAAGAAATGCGATTGTCTTTATTTTATATCCTGAGACTTTGCCAAAGTCCTTTATCAGTGTAAGGAGGTTTTTGATTGATTCTCTAGGGTTTTCAAGGTACACAATCATGTCATCTGCAAAGAGAGATAACTTGGCTTCCTGTTTTCCTATTTGGATACTTCTGATTGCCTTCTCTTCTCTGATTGCTGTAGCCAGGACTTCCAATACTATATTGAACAGGAGGGGTGAGAGTGGGCATCCTTGTCTTGTTCCAGTTCTCAGGGGAAATGGTTCCAATTTTTGTCCGTTTAGGAGTATGCTGGCTGTGGGTTTCTCATAGATGGCTTTTACTATTTTGAGGTATGTTCCTCATATGCCTAGATGTTCAAGGGTTTTTTTTTATTTTTTTATTTTTTAAAATTTTTTTTGAGTTGGAGTCTCATTCTGTCACCCAGACTGGAGTGCAGTGGCCGCCCCTGGCCACCGCAGCCTCGACCTGCCGGGCTCCGGCGATCCTTCCGCCTCAGCCTTCCAAGTAGCCGGAATTACAGGCGTGCGCTACCATGCCTGGCTGATTTTTTGATTTATTGTAGAGATGAGGTCTCACCAAGTTTCCCAGGCAGGTCTTGAACCCGCAGGCTCAGGCAATCCACTCACCTCAGCCTCCCAAAGGCGCGGGATTACAGGCTGAGCCACCGAGCCCGGCCATTGTTCAAGGGTTTTTATCAGGAAGGGGTGCTGGATTTTATCAAAAGCTTTTTTTTGCATCTAATGATATAATCATGTGGTTTTTGTTTTGACATTTGTTGATGTAATTAATTACATTTATGGTTTTACGAATGTTGAACCAGCCTTGCATCCCAGGGATAAAGCCTACTTGGTCACGATGGATGATTTTTGAGATGTGTTGTTGAATCTAGTTTGCTAGGATCTTGTTGAGAATTTTAGTATCTATGTTCATCAAAGATATTGGCCTGTAGTTCTCTTTCTTTGTTGGGTCTTTACCTGGTTTGGATATCAATGTGATGTAAGCTTTGTAAAATGATTTGGGGAGAGTTCTGTCTTTCTCAATTGCCTGGAATACCTTCAGTAAGATGGGTATAATCTCCTCCTTAAATGTCTTGTAGAATTCTGCTGGAAAGCCATCTGGTCCAGGGCTTTTTTTTGTAGGTAGTTTTATTACATAGTCAATTTCCTTGATTGTTATTGGTCTATTTAGGGTCTCAATTTCTTCTTGTTTCAACCTAGGCAGGTTGTGTGATGACAGAAAGTCCTCCATTTCCTTGAGGTTTTCAAGTTTGTTTCCATACAAGTGTACATAGTAGTCTCTAATGATCTTTTGTGTTTCTTCAGGATCAGACGTGACTTCATCTTTTGTGTTTCTGATTGTGTTTATTTGGGTTTTTTCTCTCTTTTTCTTGGTCAGGCTAGCTAGGGGACCATCGACCTTGTTTATCCTTTCAAAGAACCAGCTTTTTATTTCATTGATTTTTTTTTGTATTATCTTTTTGTCTTCTATGTCCTGGATTTGGGCTTTTATTTTGGTGATCTGGATTCTTCTGCTGAAATTAGGGTTTTTGTGGTCTTGCTTTTCCAGCTTTTTTAGGTGCCTTCTTACG